AGAGCAGCAAAGCTTGCGTTTTCAAGTGATGATAAATTTCAGGGCACCAGAAATGGCTCAAAGCCTTTATTTTTCAGCAGAAACCACGCAGCAATGCTCACGGGGCCCATGACGAAGGGCCCGTTCGGGGGACCAAACGAGCAGGCCGGTGGTCATATCCAAGGTAACGCAGCCCTGACCACTAAAATGCCTAGTGAGAGGGCCTGTTGCACCGGTCGCCGGCCCCTGAGACAGTGAGGATCCTATATTAGCCGACTGAGACCACCAATACCGAACAGTCGATTCCGTGCCGGTCTAGGCCCTAGGAAAGCCCTTGCCCAAGCAGGGGCAAGGGCATGCTTGCAAATGTCATTCAGAAGGCATATTCAATTCGTTGGTTTCCTTAAACGGCATAGGGCCACCCGTGCTGGTTAGGGGACCACGCTGCCTAACAGGGAACGCTGTGTCGACAACGGGCCCATGGTCGACCAGGGGCATATTTCCTGAGAAGGGACAGCTACGGGACTTCAAATGTCAAAAGGCCTCTGACGTTGGCTCGGGACCGTTTCACAGTGAAGACATATGAACAATGGCTATTCAATGCTTCACTTTCATATTGAGACAATGGAAGTGTCCTGCTTCAGTCAGAGGTCACGTTACCGAACGAGGGTCCTCTTGAACTGTTGCTGCCAGGGGCCCATCAACCGAATTGGTCTCGCGGGCCATTTGCTGGACATTCTACGTCAGTAATGAGTCCCTTGCGTCAGTGAGGGCCGCTACGTCGATCCATCGCCAGGTGCCTCGGTCGGAGAATCTGTCACAGCAGGGAGGGGATCCGCGCAGTAGCATGATAGGTCCTCCAAATTGTATATAATCCTCCTGAGGGCCCTCGGATCCTATATATCATATATCATACCAGCTTACCTATATCTGATATATTCGTAAAACACCGAAGAAATACGGTAAATTCTCTTTCAGTCAAAGTAGTTTAAGATAGCACGGCTAAAAGGTGAAAACCGATTTCTTAAATGAAGTGGGCTAAATCCGTTGAACCATTTTGGGGGGAATTTTGGGAACGGATTCCCTGCTGTCTTTCCACCAGCAGGCACTATGTAAACCGTGGTGTCCCTTTCTTCCTGTGGCTCTGGCTGTGCCTCTGGCCACATAGTATGTGCCCTTGGCATGCGCGGAGATCGGAGATCATCATGCCACATGCCCTTGAAATTCTTGAGATCGAGATCGGTCCAGGTCAGCACAGCCCATGGGGAGAGAGAGAAGGGGGGGGGGGGGGTTACGCTAACACCCGCATTTGGTAAAAAAAAACAACAATTTAGCATCGCAGCCTGGCTCTTGCCAGAAATTTAAAAATTAACCATAGTCACAGTCATTCGGTAGAATTTTCCCCACGCGGTGGTTCACCACGAATTACCTTAGAGGGCTAACACAACGCTGCAAAACAGAAGATAAGACACCACAACATGAAACAGGAAAAGCGAAAGACAGACACCACCCAAAAAGCTTCCCATACACACAAGCACCATAAAAAACCAGCCCAAGTGCAGCGCAACCACATCACGCGCTGCTGTCGCCGGCGGTCGGCTCCAGGGTCACGTGACCTGGCGTTCCAGGGTGATGCGGCTCGGTGTGCAGGCCTTCGCTGACTTTGCCCAGTCAACACCTCGGGAGCCGCAGCATCCCGGCCGCTGCGGCACGAGTGTCGCGAGACGACATGATGATGATGATGATGATGATGAGATGGGCTCGACGAGCGCACATGTTTGTTTTGACTGGGTACACTGGCTGCAAAACAGGGCTTTTGCACCTGCGCTCAGCCGTGGCGACGCACCGTTTTGTCCACCCTTGTCCACCAAAACGCTTGTAGCGCTGTCGAGATGTGTTCCAAGTACCGCACCCAAGTCACAAGTCTGTCCACGGGGTTCAGTTTTTTTTTGTTTTTTTTTGGACACGATGAAGCTGGAGTTCAGTGCACACAGTACATTAAACCATACCTAAAGCCAGATCAGTTGCCAGTGAGCAGATATCTGTCTAAGGATGTTGCGTAACATTTGACGTCTTTAAACGACAATAACTGTTGAATATGCCCCTAATCTAACAAAAACAAGCAATAGGGGCAAGGCTGCAGCTGAAGTACAAGTCAAGTGAAGTTGCCGATGATGCGCACGCGCATATGTAGCTGATCATGTATAAACGAAATGAGGTGTAAATAAGTCATTCCGATTCGGCGTGACGAAAAAATGCTAATCGGAATGAAAATTATGTTTTACACTTGCGCGACATTTGGATGTGAACCTGAGCAAGTTACCCAGTCATCTACCTAGATGGTATCGGGGCATTTAAGTGACCTTTTTGAGATGCATGGAACATTGTGTGATACATTTATTTGGGGGAGCAACAGTAAAGGAGTCTTCTTCACAACAAATCTGGGCGTTTTCATTGGCTTATTGGGTTGGATACTGGCAAACAAATGCGAACAAATATGAATACCAAACAAAGATGAATGTCAAATGCCGGGATATGCGAGATGGCGGTAGTTCTTGGGAGTTTCACCATCGACACCAGCTACCGCGTGTTCCTTCGTGTTTGACGCCGGAATGCTAGACACTTCCTTGACGTGCTGGTGATGTACAATATCTTATCTCCCTCGGCTGTTAGGCCTGTGGACCCCATATTCTTTAAACATCGCTGAAGTCATATTCTGTACTTCGAATTTTTGTTGTTTTTTTGCTCCATAACCGTTAAAGTACACGGTGCAAGTGTGGTGAATTTCCATGATATTGACATAAATCATTACACACATTCCAGGTAGTTTCCCCTTGTTTTACCGTCTAAGTGAGTGAAAGCGCACTGCGAAAAGTTCTACGAAGACCACTGGCTTCGCCGTTTTTGGTTCCAGGCCCGAGTTCTTCAGTATTGACGTCATGTGATGTCACTTAAGTCACTATGACTTCGAATTCATGTACAAGTTGATTCGATGTAAGGTAAGCAAACTTCAAAAATGTAACTGTACTGGTTTCGTCGTACGTAAGTTAGCGATGGCTAGTCATTTGGGTCGTGTTATCGTGCCTGTCTTCGTTGGTATTTACGAGCCAAACTTTAACTCGCTTGCCAACCTTCTCCAAAGTACGTACTTTGAGATGACATGGCCCATCAATCTCTGGAAAACAAAAACGCCCGCCATATACATATCTACCAACTATGACTAGTTCTCCACCAGGCGTGGAGGAAGCATCCTGGTTAAGAGACGAGAATCTGATAATGAAGTGGTCGGAATCCGGGGACCTTCTTGTGAGATGGGGGTGGGGTGGGGGTGGGGGGAGGGCATCAAGTTCCATGGAACGCAGCAGTGAAACGCGGCTTCATCCTTGAAATCCCGGATGTACCCCACTGGCAAGCTGTCACCTAGATGTGTCCAGGCTATAGCATTTGATGCATTATGCCTGTGAGCGCCATAGTTAGTACTCAACGACAGCATCGTACAAAGCTCTGCAGCCATTTTGTGCCGTGCTGACGTAGAAGGGCTATTCGCCCATCCTATTTGCTGTTGGGCTTTTCCCTAGGCACGGTTGCGGTGGACACCTCGGCGATGTGACCTAACCTGTTCCGAGCTGTCGGGGACAACAGCCGACAACCGAGGCTAGCTGCCTGGCTAGAAGCCGCTTTATCGTGGAGACGGAGGATATGACGGCGGCGGAGGTGTAGGAATGGTGGCGGCCGTTCTGCCGCAGGTGGTGTCATACACATTATTTGCTGAACCGCTGGGCCTGGTCGAGCCCACCCGCCACCCGCTTTCCTGCAGCACTGCATGCTGCAGGTGCACAATTGCGGTGTTGTGCCCGGGTAGTGCCGGGCTCTGGCCAGGAGGAAAGACATAAAAGAACAACGCGCAAAGTGGCTTGCCGGTCGGTGGCCATAGCACGCAGGTCCAGTAGGTGCGTGCAGCGCGGAGGCGTCACCGATAGTTGACGCGAGTTTGTGTTGTGGCTGGTTTGGAAACCCGATCTCATGCGCATGTCCATAGAGTAGCGTCGTGCTGCTGTAGAATGTGTCGCTCTGCTGGGAAATATGTTTCATCGTTCTGATTGCAATGCATCCTTCTGTTGTGCTGTGTTATGATTATACAAGTGTGTTCGCAATGCCGATTTGGAAGTTTTGGCTTTTGTCGTCAGCGTACCTCAATGGAGATGCGCCGTTCTACCATGAAATGCGTTGTTTTGCGGCAGGGTGCCTTGCTCTACCATGCGATGAGTCATTCAGCTGTGGGATGTGTCGTTCTGCTGTGCTGTGTTCTAACAACACGACGTGATGTGATGCCTTTCTGGCGTACGTCAATGGAGACGCGTCGTTTTTCTGTGGGAGGGGTAAACCTGCTGAGACACGTCACCCTGTTGTTCTCAAGGAGATATGTCCTTTTGTTGGGCTGCGTTTTGACTACTTGATTATGTGTTGTTACGCGGATCCCAATGCTTTTTTGTTTTTGTCTTTGGTGGGGGTCGATATAGATGATTACGATCAAAAGTAGAGATATATTGCATGATCGCATATTGCAAGTTTATCACCACGATGACTGAAAAATGGGTGAGACCCCCAAGAGTGCTCAGAGACCATGCAGGCGTCTGTTTGGTCTGAGAACTTTTCTGCAGGGTTCCCGGCATCAGTGCAGGTTATCTCGCTCGAAAGCGCTCGATTGTCACCATGCTCCAATCGATCGGTTACTGAGATAAGCTTTCTCACGCGAGGTAATTCGCGGTGACGCTGAGAGCCTGGACTGCTAGAGCGACACAACAGAGAGCCTAGCTGAGAGCGACATAAGACCAAAGGACTCACTCTGAAGTTCTCGTAAAGTGTGGCTCTCAGCAGAGGCAAGCTCTACCCTTCGACAGCCTTAGAGAACTCTCGGTAGGCTTGCCTGTTTTTCAGTGCATGGTCAGCAGGTGACGCGCCAGCCTCGCCGCTCGAAGGCTTGCTGTGTTACACATAAACATACGGGGTTGCGCGCTTACCTCCAGGAGTCTGCAGCGGCTGCTGGCGCACTTGGCGTCCTCGCACGGCTGGTACATGCCCAGGGTGACGCAGTTGATGAAGATCACCAGCATCGTCACCCTCTCGAACCACGTGAGGTAGCTGGTTAAGGAAACGACTTGCGGTGGCGGTGCCTAGCATGTTTGGGCGGACAGGAACAGTCACGCTGGCTTAAACGAACGGTTGAACGACACTTGTGGCGCAAACGTCACTCAATAGATTAATTGGCAACCAGAGCAAGCACCCCCATTGAGCGAGTGATTGAGCGCGTATGCTTTTGCGGGTGTGCTTAAATAGGCACTCGTGACCTGTACTTGGGGTCATTCGGATGCATGCGAGAAAGCAGTCATCTTTGAAAAAGACCTCTTTACGCCACAGGCACCCGGTCTTCTTCCATTGCGATCCACGGCTAGTGTATCGAGGCTCAACTATTCATGGGACTTCCCCCTGCTGTTGCTATTTCCTAGTGCATGTTGATGCCACCACTTGCGAGAAGCTGCCAAGAACAATAAATAAAATGTGGTATTATGGCAGAAAATGAATGCTGCTGTTTTGCTTCCGTTCTGTTCCTGGCTATCTTTTATGCCCCTTTGTGCCCTTTTAAAGCCCCTCACGCAATAAGATGCAGGTTTGAATTTCTTCCTGGATGGTAATGCGCGGTACATTATTACCGGCACATCAAATGCATTTGTTTTTCACAGCCCCTAAATGTGCATGCTACTAACTTTCGATTATCACATGCAGCTTTTATTTCCATTTACAAGTGGCCCCGCACAAGCGGACCAGCGGCGGCAAAGCGCATTACTGCAAGCTGTCGTAACAGCTCTCATCCCCACAGATCACCTCGCCTCAGCGGCTCCGCCAATCCGTCTGACCACACCAAGCGATCCCGTGATCCCCCCCCCCCCCCAACACCCGACCCCCTCTGCATTCCTACGTCACCGGCCACCCGGCCACGTGTTCTCGCGTCACCCGACGTTTTCGGTGGCGGCCCGCCTCCCCGCTCTCCCCGGCGCTGGCGCCGGGCCTGGCACCGGACGCGGCCTACCAAAACTGTTTGCTTTTTGATCGGATGGTTTACACTGGCCGGCGACGAAGGCACCAGCTTGTGCTGCCGTCGGGGCCGGGCCGAGTGTTTGTCGCCGAGCCCCGTCAGTGGTGTGGCCCCCGAGCCGTCTCCACGGGGCGACGAGAGCTCCCGAGCTGTCTCCACGGGGTGACAGGGGCTCCCGAGTCGTCACCAAGGGGCGACAGGAGCTCCCGAGCTGTCTCCACGGGGTGACAGGGGCTCCCGAGTCGTCACCAAGGGGCGACAGGAGCTCCCGAGCTGTCTCCACGGGGTGACAGGGGCTCCCGAGTCGTCACCACGGGGCGACAGGAGCTCCCGAGCTGTCTCCACGGGGTGACAGGGGCTCCCGAGTCGTCACCAAGGGGCGACAGGATCTGGTGTCGGGCGGCGGGCGGGAAGACGGCGCACAGAACCGGCACCGAGCAGCTGCCCCGGCCAGGGGTGTCGTATGGGCTTTTTTGGAGGATTTTGTCAATTTTGTGCACGAGGCCTATTTGCAGTCGACTTTGAATATGCTTATGCTGACAAGATCAAGTCGAAAAGTTCTCAAAGAAAGTGTCGTAGAACCCGATCGAACAGGGTACGTGCATCGGGACTTTTGTGTGTATAATCTTTCCAAATCCGCAGTTTTGGACTAGGTGCCTGGACAAAGACACAGCCGTCAGTGACTTGCCATACCGATCGCTCATCTTCACGGAGAGACGCGTTCGTTCTCAAAAAGTCTGCATATAATTTGCACTTCCAAAGACACCAGAAAACAACTTACATCATGATAACCCCGTTGCGTGTTGTCGCAGAGTCCGCGCGTGTACCATCACGGCTGCTACTTGGTCTTTGTGATACAACTGCGCGTATTTCTTTCCCGTCCAGCCAGTATTTCTATCTCTCACACAAAAGGCCCTGCGTGGCTAGCGGCCCGCTGAGTAGCTACAAGCTGACTGGCAAGGATGCCGCGCGAAGAATGGCGCTGTATTTCGGGGCAGGGACGGTGAGGTGTTGACGTGGCGCTGTATTTCGGGGCAGGGACCGTGAGGTGTTGACATGGCGCTGTATTTCGGGGCAGGGACGGTGAGGTGTTGACATGGCGCTGTATTTCGGGGCAGGGACGGTGAGGTGTTGACATGGCGCTGTATTTCGGGGCAGGGACGGTGAGGTGTTGACGTGGCGCTGTATTTCGGGGCAAGGACGGTGAGGTGTTGACATGGCGCTTGCAGTATTCGACGACGCATTCTGCTGCTAAGTTTGCTGGCTGCTCAATACATCAGGTGTATCGAAGTGAACGGCACTCACACGCCGCTGGTGCGGATGGAAAGGTGAAGAGCGTCGAAAACATTCAGCGCAGTTTGAGGCCCTGCCAGCTCTGTTTGTGCACCAATTCCTTCACCTGTATCTTTCTTCCCCCTCTTGAGAGGATGGAGGAGCAGCTGTGCTGATCTCTGTGATCTCAGATTTGATCTCAGATTTTATCTTAGCTGGGCAGCTGTCTATCGATTGTACCTAGCCAGCTGTGACTGTACCGGAAGTGTGTGCCCTCAGCCCAGGGCACATTCAATTCCCTCTCATCTGCAACTGACGACTCAGGCTTCAGTGCGTGACCGCCCTGCCATGATCGATATGACGAGTCCAAACGCGGCGTGAAGAAGCTTCCGACGACTGGTAACTTGCTCTTCACTGTTACTACGAGACAGGGGACGGTTAGACAGGAGACAGCTTACCAAGAGACTTACCAGGGGACAGCTGGGCGTCGGCAACGCAGCAACAAAACCCGGCCTGCGAGGCTATTTTGAGCTGTATTTTCCGGACGTTTAATCCTCTTTTGGGCAGATTCTGTTTCTATTAAAGGCGCTCAAGCGCTCATCGATTGTATGATGCGCGTCGGTGACGTGATGAGTCGCGTTGCCGGGGCTGGCTGAGAAGAGGGAAGCCCGGGCCGGGAGCTGTTCTTGGCGTGAGTTCCGACAACAATCTCAGAGGGCTCCGTTCCTGAGTCTCAGTTTCGGGGAGCTTGACAGTGGCCGTATGCTTTGAGCGATGTTTTTTGGTCGTGGGTTCTAAGCTTGAGATTCCCGCCGTGGAAAAGTTCCACTGCCCCCTGCAACCCCCCCCCCCCCCCACACACACATTAAAAGGGTGCAATGGCTTGTAACGACTTAAGCATTTAGATGGAACGATTGCCAGCCCTACAGTTATTCTGGCTGTTGTCAGGAGCCTGGTGTCCTGCTTATACAGTCCATGATGCTTTCGCGGTTTTGATTGGAAGCTCCTGGGAACTTCCGTTTCTTTGGGAGAGCTTTGCTGGAATCTCTGTGAAATTCGCTAAGATTTTGCTGAGTCCACGGCTTACATCTAGCCCTGCCAATCCTGTTTTCCAATTTCGAAACAAATGAGCGATCCCACCGGCCTCGCCACCACGGCCGTAACCAGCGCTCTGGCTGGGCGCTCCGGCCGACGGAGCCGACCAGTCTGACACCCTTCCAGGTCAGACCCACCTCACATACCCCGCCCCCCTACAGGCTTCAACACCTCAGTCCCTGCCCGAATACGCCCATCGTCGCCTCACGTCCCTGCCCCGAAATACGCGCCTTCGACACCATCCTGCCCCGAATACAGCGCCATGTCAACACCTCACGCCCTCCCCCCAATACAGCCATGTCGCACCTTTTGCCCCGAAATACAGAGCGCCATGTCAATCACGTCCCTGCCGAAAGAAATACGCGGCACACACTGGCGCCGATCTGGCGCCGCCTCTGGTGCAGGGGCGACCCCAGACCCCGGCTCTGGGCGGCGAACAATGCGCCGGTTCTCGGGCGGAGCAGCGCCGATCGGAATCGGTGTAAATATTTGACAACATGGCGGGGCGCCTGGTGGTCTGGCGATGCAGCAGCGACCCGGCCACGCCGGAGCATTCGGCCAGCCCTGGACGGGGCTGATGCCGGCCCAGACTCCGGCACAGGCCCCGAGTCACGGCCAGGTCCGGCAGAGGCTGCGAGTCATGGCCAGGTCCGGCAGAGGCTCCGAGTCACAGCTAGGCCCGGCAGAGGCTCCGAGTCACGGCCAGATCCGGCAGAGGCTCCGAGTCACGGCCAGGTCCGGCAGAGGCTCCGAGTCACGGCCAGGTCCGGCAGAAGTTCCAAGTCACGGCTAGGTCCGGCACAGGCTCGGAATCCCGGCCGGGCCTGGCGCCAGCTCGGAGTCCCGACTAGGTCCGGCACAGACTCGAAGTCATGACCAGACCTGACCAGGTCTGGCACAGACGACAACCCGAACTCTGAGCCCAGAGGCGACATAGACTGATATACTGATAGCTAGCATGCGTGGCTTCAGGCTCAGGGCGCGTACTTAACATATTTTATTGAGTAAACGCTGAACCCACTACCCACGTTGTGCCGTCCCGTTTAACGAGCGATTTTGCCTCCGCTCTTTCGCCAGACAGACTCGCGGAGGGTTTTATGCACCGCACAATGCTGCGGCATAGCCACTCCGCGTCTGGGTTAACCTTTGTTGGGCAGCTGCTAGCTGACCTTTCCATATCAATCGGACCAAACAATGCGCCCGGTCTGGGGCTTGTATCCAGTGACGTCGGATGAAGAGTCCAGTGTCTTTCTGCAGACCAAGAGCGCGGTTTCTCTTCCCCGTCCCTTGCGATGTTTGTAGCCTCGTTCCGGCCGACTGAGCTGCCTTGCAGGCGAGGCTAGGGAGGGCGCTGTTTTGTTACGTTTGCCAAATGGGAAATTTGGCATAGGACCGAGTGGCTAAATGCGCCTCTATAAATGGTACGTTATGATGCGCTCGAAGGATTCCAGGTAAAAATGAATACGAGAACGATAAAAGCGAGATCCGTTGATGACTGCCTTGCATTGCTTGCCTTGCTTTCATTGAGTAAGTCTGCATTCAACTGATACTTCTCCGAGCGAAGCAGTTGTTTGAAGCATTTGCGGCGTGCAACGGGTCCCGGTCCCATTGTTTCAACTATATCCCTCGCGTCTCCTGACTGGGCCGTCAGCTGCCAGCCGGCGAGCGATTT